ATTGCGCCACCCCTTTGTGATTCCTTTAGGTTTGAGATATGGAAGAAGCAATTGAAAAGAACAGTTGGAAGAGGAGGATGAGAAATTAATCTCAATCGGATCATTTATCATATGACTCGTTATGAAAGGACTGACGAAAGAAGTTGTGACTGCTGCCGTATAGTCTATTAGTCATAAAAGTCGACACAGTAATAACATTAGTTTGCCTGCAGGTGGAGGTACAATTACTAATTTACAACGATTGTTCTGTCAATTTGCCTTTCTTTTTTTTTTAATATTCGACTTTTCAATGGCAATTAATCAAATATTTTTGCAGTAATATTGACAATATAAAGGGAATCATAAAGTAAAAGGAGATTGCGATTGAGAAATTGGAAATTAATTCGAAAACGTCTTATTCGATGTCCGAGGAATGTGAGGCATTCGCTGATTGAATCCTCCACTGCCCTTCGATACGCCGCACACGCGCGTCTGTTTGATAAATGTCTCGGGCTCGCGATATGTCCGATGATATTTGTGCGAGAATCTCGCGGGAATCGCTTGCAATTTTTGTTCTTGTAATTCAATTTTCTCAATCATTTTTCAATTCTCCTTTCATAGGAATTGTTTTTTCTTCTTTTATATACAATTTTTTGTTTAATCAAATTTGGTATTAAATTAATTAATACCTTAGAATTTTGAAAAAAAGGAAAATTTCTTCATCTTTTACAACGAAATGAATTTTTTTAATTTTTAATGATAATAATTTTTATCTTTGAAAGTATATTCTTTAAATGTCGTTCTCAGATGACTGAGAATTAATCCAAACAAGTCTGAAGCTTTCAACGGCGCGTCTCTTCTCATCTTGACTCTCTTTCTTTCTCTCTCTCTCTCTATCTCTCGACAATGAACTCATCTGGATTAAAAGATCCGTGCGGTTCTCTTCTTTCCGTGGTAACCGGATAGTCGACTTTGCTCGTCCCCGAACGCCTCCTAATTATTCGCATAACGCGCCGACTATAGCACTTGGCAACTGGGCGCGGAACTCATCTTGTTCATTGCGCGCGGGCAAAAGGAAAAGGAGAGATCCTGAAGGATCGACTCGTTATAAGCGAGAAACAACCCCTTTTGCCTCGAATGTCAGCAACTAGAGGGTAGAGTTTTCAGTCCAGAGTGCTTGCTTCAAGTAGCAGTATCTACTAGTATATATATATAGTCATCCACGTTCTTCGTATATCACATTACAGGAACACCCCTTGTCCTTTTGGTCGTTCGTTATTTCGAATTTATATATAACCGAAAACTTCACACTTTTAATATTATATGTTTTGTTGTTAATTCATTTGAAAACCTAATTTTTTCTTTGATAATACATTTTTTACTATATTTAATACAATTGAATCTGTTTTACCGATTAATAAGATTTGATTACGTTAAATCTGTTAATTTTACCGATTAATGATAAAATTTGGTTCAGTCAAATCTGTTTGACCGATTAATAAGATTTGATTACGTTAAATCTGTTAATTTTACCGATTAATGATAAAATTTGGTTCAGTCAAATCTGTTTTACCGATTAATGATAAAGCAGTAAAATCTCATTAATTCAAAAGAGAGATTGTAAATTTTTATCTAATATATAAAATAAAAGCGAGTAAGGTTTCAATTTTTCTAATTATAAAACAATGAAAGCATTCTTTCGTGGAAATTTAAGTTTTATGTGGTTGGCGATATTTTACCAGAAAGTTACAACGTATGCATATAACACTCGTCAGTGGTAGGGACAGGTTTTTTTTTTTTTCTATGTCCGATATGTGCTCGCGCATACTTTATATATGTATATATATATATATATATGTATCAGAGCGCACGTGTTTCAAGGTACACATCGTTTATTGGAAAAGCTGCACAGTGTGGTCGACGATCGGTAGCATACCTTTGCTATATGCGAAAGCCTTTGTTCCAACAAAATTACAATTGTTGTCGTCATTATCAATATGCGCTATGCGGACGATGCTTTTGATTTCCCCGGGATTTCCTCCATTGTATATAATATATACGATCAGCACGAGAAATCGTTTGGGGACTATAACGTTTCGAGAATTATGTCTCATTCCAAAGAACATGTTTCACATTCTTTCGTGTAGTGAAATATCAAACTTTTTTTTTATTTCAAAATTATTTTTCGAGAGATCAGATATATTATATTTCACTGACAGTATAGACTTTTGTACCGATTTGAATAGTGAAATCTGTTTTACCAATGAATGATAATGCAGATTTGACTGTTTATATATTTTTTTTTTTGATATCCAAAGACTAAAATTGAAAAAGAAAGAAAAATAAACCGATACGTTTTGGGATAATGGTCCGTGACACTTGCGGTACCCATTTTCCCGTATAGGTTGGATGAGGAAATGAGGGAAGTAGAAGAAGTGGAAGCTTCCATTCTCTTTAACGCGACCGTAACTTATCGCTCGTAGACACTGTATATTTCTCTCCCGGCTCTTTGAAAGCATTCTCTCATTAAAAAATTAAAGCGCCAAAAGGGAAAGGGGGAAAAGAGAAAAAGGAGGGAGGATGGGTGGCCCAGAGAGAAGTAGGAGAACATGGTTGCGACGCAGAGAATGGTTACGAGAATTGAGAGGAGAGAATGAGAGCCCACGGTAAGTGCTCTGCGGCTCCCAGATGCGCTCAATATTATGTTTAATGATATTAACTTCTTACTTAATGGTCCGCGGTTCGATTCGAGGTGCGAAGGCCTACCCACTGCTAAAAGAAAAAAAGCGAGAGAGAGAAAAAAAAGTATACCCCTGAGAATAATTTGTGAATAAAATGAGATCTATTGTAAAAGAGAAAAAGGGACTCGTAAATGAAAATCTAATCACATCTTTTTTAATTCTTATTTTTTTCTTCTTTTCATTCTATTTTTTATTAAGTTCCTTTTTTTAATTCCTTTTTTTTTAATGGATAATTCACATTGCCAAGAGCAATGACCTTGAATTTTCTCTTCGATAAAATCTTACGCGTCAAATATTTCTTCTGATTTTGCCTTAGGGCTGTTTTCCCTACTCGCTCTATCGCGAAAGAAAGAGAAAACCACGAGTTTGCGTACAACCACAAACATCTCTTGAGACAAAAATCTTAACGATTTCAGCTTCTTAAAAAGTTCGTCGATGCTGAAAAACTTCCCTTCTTCTTCTTTTATGGAATAGATGAGCCGCAGATATGGGATTAAAAGTTTCTCATAACTCGTTATGTTCTTGCTTTTTTATTTAATCTTAAAGAATTTCGCTTTTCGCATATCAAAAAAGAAAGATTTTTCTTCCCTCGTCAAGGGTGACATTAGCCCTTTGACATAATATTTCGACATCAATAAGTTTCTTGTTTTATTATTTAGATTACTTTTTATCTCGCTTATTATTTATTATTAACTATTTATTATTTATTAAATATACATTTAAAAAAATTGTGTCAATTAGATGGAATTTGTTTCAAATAGAGTTTATTTAATAACGAAAAAAAAAAAAATTTGTAAATTATTTGGTTTAAATATTTATTTGATAATAGTCAAGTAGATTAAATGAGAATGATTAGAATATCAGAGAAGGGGGGGGGGAGAGAGTCTAGGCAAGTTCCTTGAAGTTTGGTCCCGATCGAGACAGTATCGTGTGCGTCAGATTGTCGCGACAACTTAATTTTCGAGCGATAATTAAATTTTAATTGGTAATACGAGTCGATTAAGGTCACCGATGAATATCTTGGTTCGTCCCTAACGTTTCTCTTTGCCATAACGTAGCTACGTTCTCCAACCCTCAATTCTCCAACACACATATACATATATAGTATATATATATATATAAAAGTGAGTGAGAGAGATGTATATTTCACTCTTCAGGTCCATCGTCTTCGGAAGAGGAGAAAATCGGTTCGCGTAGACGTCGCGGCGCTGCAATAACCGGCAACGAACCGGAGGTTATTAAATTTGTAATTAGTTGAATATTACGCCGAAGCGTCGCGGCGCTCGCGCTAACCACGTTTCTTCAATGTATGAACATGCGTATCCATTTATATATATATATATATACCTATGAACCCCCGACACAGTTCATACACATAGATAAGAGAGCCATGACTATACAACGGTGTTAATACGTTACGGGTTTCATTACGTCTATACGCCCTTCTATGCGCCAATAATTAGAGACTCAAGATACGTGCTCAAAGTCTCGATAGAACTCATATATATGGCAATTGCTATTTTTAAAAAAAGAGTATCCAAGTCAAGACTTTAATGAGATATAATTTCTCAACGCATGAATCAAAATCTGATTATTTAATAATTTTCATTTTTAAGAATAATAATTAAATTAATAACAGTCTTTGGAGTAAAAAATTATTTTTACAATAAATAAAATTTATTTAATCTTAAAAATAAATTTTCGTAATATTTTCTATATAATTTCAAATTGCTATTTCTTCTTTCATAACTTATTCGAAGAAAATAGAAAAAAAAAATATATTTCATTGAAAATGTTTTCATATGCAAATGCAGAGGCATAAATTTCTTCCTGTATGATTAAGTTGCTTTAAAGCAATTAATTCTTTGACAATTAACATTTGCTTTTATCAATGAGACATAAAGTGTCATGCTTGAAAATTGTACATCTGATATATACAACGACTTTCACGGATGATTTTTTTTTTTTATTTATTTAAAACAGTCAAGCCTACAATAGAGGCGAAATGCATTTTTTTTTTTTTTTTTGTGAATACGATTCTCATGATATTTCAATCAACGCCTCTAAGAGGGACAAAGAGACAATTGAGAAGGCTGCGCATATAATAAAGCATGAAAGGAACGAATGCATCGTTGTCGGAAACCGTTATTTATCGTCCCACACATATTTTGCATGTCTCTCGAGTCGATAGAATAATTATTTAATTAATACTTTTTGATATGTGAATTCAAATTTAAGTTTCCTGTATTCATCTTTTGTCTTTTTCACTGTTTGTTGCAGGTTGAAGGACGATCGAAGTGAAGGAGAAAGAGTATTAGCTTTAGATTGTAAACCACGGAATCCCAGTTCGCACAATGGTAAGAGAATTCTTTCTTTTTATCAAATAAATTATTTTTTATAAATGACAAATCCGCTTTTTTAATGTTTAAACTACAATAGCGGTACTTTTTTTATTTCTGTTTTTATTTACAATAGATAATAATTAATTTATTATTATTATTATTATTATTATTATTATTATCAAATAATTCATTAATTTATTATTGAAAATATTTCAATTGTTTATTTGATAATAATCACTATTTGAATGAAATAAATTTTGTAATTCGGTAAATGAAACCTCTATATTCTTCATTGTTGGAATGAGGTAAACATATGGTCAGTGGTATATATGGTCAAACAAAATCCATCCATGTCAGGATTAAAATGCTGGGACATTAAATTCGCGAGGGAAAATTGTATATATAGAGACGGTGAATTGGAAATAAGAGAGATCTGGAAAGTGGATAGTCAGTGTGTTTATGTCTAAATAGAGATGCGTTGGGGGTATAAATAAGATCCATCAACTTGTCAGCAGGAAACTCGGTTGCTTGTGTTTTCTAGATGGAATTCGAGATTTAGTTCATTTTCAAAAGGGGAAGAATATTGGTCACTAAAAAAAAAATCTTTTCTTATCCATCTTGTCATAAAGAAGATTAAAATCCAATGCAAATTTCAATTTACTCTTTCTAAATTATTCCATTTTAATAATTTACAAAGTTTATTAATTTCGTGATTAATTTAAAAAAAAAAAAGTAATTGAAATAATTCAAATTTTTGTTCGTTACATTTATATGTTTAATAATTTTGAGTATTTTTTTGGATTTTTTTTTCAGGTTCTTCGGTAGGTCACAGTCCAGTCTTGAATCTATCGAAAACGGCATTAAGTGGTAGTGTAGGTGAACACTCTGGAAGTGAAGCTGGAGCGTCACATCGGTCCCAAGATGACGAAGAGGAAGATGATAATTTATCAGAGGACCTTGAGGAGGATAATCTAAAGGATGAAGGTAAGTTTCTTTTTTTACTATATTTCAAATACTTTTGCAAAAGTTTTCTAAAATGAAATTATTTTCTTTATTCCCCAAAAAAATCGAAGAAGATAAATATTTACTTTTTAATTAGATATGGAGATAATTTAGTTAATATAGAAAATTTAGTTGATTTAGCCAATTTAGTATTATAAATTATCACTTAAAACAACAGTGATATTTCACTGCGTGTGTATCCCATATATATATATACCCTCGGCACAGGATCTAAAGAGAATGAAACAAAAAAAAAAAGAAATAAAATTTCCAGTTTATTTAATTCGCCAACAAACGTAAGAAACAAACAGATCTGATGATTTACACGCTTGGCAGAATACATGCAGATGGAAAATAATTATATCGGTTTGACTGGACACGCCATATCTCTAAAGATGAGTTCTTTGAGACGACTGGTTGGTGGTTCTGACCCTCTCATCGATCATCCAGAGCGAAACGAAGTTCTGGGATTCGTTTTTTTTTTCTCGCTCTTATAGTGAATCGTGCTCAGAGGTTGTCACCTCATGAGTAAAATTAACAAAACAAGAAATAAACAAACAAAAAAATTATTTATGATACAAAGAGGTTACAAAATTGGTAATTATAGTAGTCGCGAAATTACAAAGTGTTCCATTTTATCGTTTATGTAATTGAATGTAATTACAATTATTAATTGTTAGCAAAAACAAAAACTGATATTTATAATAATTATATTATTATATTTATATAATATAATAAAAATAACAGTGATGAGATTTTTAATTAATAAAATCAATTATTTCTAAACTGAGTTACGTGTTGAATATTTGAACATTTATCAGGATTCTTAATATATATATATTGTTTAATTAGAAAAAGGTTGAGAATGAAGCACCACTGTGAGAGCGTAGAGACCATTAGACTCGCATCTTCGGTATTTAGTTTCGTTTTAATAATGAAAGATGGTTTAAGATACGATCTCTTCTCTCGACTTAGCAGTGCTATCTTAAGTTTGAGCCTCACACTTGGCTTCATCGAGGCAGAATAATCGAATTGATTTTTAATCGATTCTTCCATTGTAAGTTTTGATACGTTAATTGGGTTGACTGACGAATTTATAAGAAAAAATCCCTTATCGAAGGCTTCATTATCTTTGAACCTTAATTTTGACCATCGTTGACAGAAATGTCAAGTCAAGATATTTATATTGCAAAATAAAACTTTTTTAAAAATTACTATTGTAAACACTCTTTGTTTATAACCACATTTCTAGGATATGTTTTTTAACTTCAAAAAATGGCTATTATGTATAAATAAAAATAGGGCAGTTTTTCCGGTCTTAAAGTTTAATGTTAGAATGGAAAGTTAATTTTGTAGGAAGACTTTTCTCTTTTATATATACATATAGGTATTGTATGAAAGTTGTGAGTAAATGCTCTCATCTTGACTGTATCGGAGAACAACGTACCAGGTCAAGGGTTGATAGGAAAGTCGTTTGCCGCAAGTGCGGCTGCCATTATGGGGTACCACTAGACATTTATTGGATCGCAAGGAATATTGTCCAAAGTGCTTTACCCAAGAACCTTCCTCAAAGATTGGTAAGATCAACGAATTAGTTGCAAAAGATTACTTGTACAAAAGAGCCATCTTGATGGAAATTATTATTAATAAATCTAAAAACTTAAGGACGCAATAACTCCTTTTTAGTTTTGTATTATCAAAAATAAAAATGGATCAGAGATACTATGGAACAATTATTCTTGATTATATGATCTTCTTTTGCAATATAATTTTCATTTATTTTTTGTTGGAAATTGTTTCGAAGTTACAATCTGAATTGGTTTAAACTCACTGAATTTAATAAAATTTCCTAAAGGAAACACGAATTAAAGGTATAAATCTGAAGTTTCATCTGAAGCACCTTGTCTCTCAGCGTGTTGTATGCATTTGGTACAACTACCTATGGTGATCGAAGTAGAACCCCATCGAATGCCCGTGGGAGTATACACGTTCGTGGAATGCCGTTCTGATTTAATGAGACACACTCGTATACCCTTTCTCGCAGCTTCTTGGAATTGTCTGCTATATTTTTTGTTTGCAGCTACTTTTCAAAATTTCGTTTCCAAATTTTCGACAAAAAAATCCTAGTAAAAATTACATATTACGATGTACAAATAGAATAGAAAAAGAAAAAAATGAAGGCAAAAGAAAAGATGAAACAGAATAAGAGAGAAGCAGAGGATAAGAGTATATATAAAGGATAATGTGTGAGTTATAGAAAAGGGACGTTATCAAAAGGTGCCGGCAAATCGGTGTCGAAGGCGCGAGCATTAAATCGACGAATGCAGCAATAAGTAACCGAATGCTGTTCCGTTGTAGTTGTGTGTGCCACGCTGATAATTAAAAGACGATACAATAAACCACATATCATTGGCCATAAAGCAAGTGGCAAAGCTCGCTTCGCGATGTGGGCCAGCCAAGTGCAGTCACTTAAGACTAACCCACGCGAGACATCTCGTACTCTCTCTCTCTCTCTCTTTTTCTCTCATGGCAATGCAATAACCATAAGACATCCCTTTTATTCCATCGCATCGGGAATATCGTCGATTCTTCGTGAAATATCTCTGCGGACCTCCATGCAGTTACAAAAGAACGTTTGTAAACAAGATTATACAAAAGAGAATTAGTATATATAAAATGCACTCATTATTCTCAGAAATGACCTGAAGCACTTTACCTATAGAAATTGGAACTATACTTTTATTCAATTCAAAAAGATTCTTTTTCATATAGTTCCTAGGAATAAAAAATATTATTTTAAGAGAATAAATTTATCAACAAAGTGATAAAATTATTATTTTTTATTAGAATTTTATTTTTTACGAATCTGTCTTAAAAAGAATACATCTTTTTAAAAAAGAATCATCCTATACTATTAAAAAGTATTCGTAATTTTTTTTAAAGGGGAATAAAAGAGATTTAAACAAAGTATAAAATGGATACTAATGTTTGTAAGATGAAACGCTTAATTTTAGGCGTTTTAATTTGATTGTGTTAAAGTTAAATCAAAGACTGCGATGGGCAACAAGTAGTCGTTCAGAACGTTACGACTGCGATACACGCACGCGATATAAGTTCTCAAACCGTTGGCGATGTTAGCCCAACATTTGCTTAATTTATTATTACGATTTTGCTCTTTTTCAACTACAAACGATCCGAGTAAAAAAAAAAATGTTTTCATGAAAAATTACCCCAATTGGCCAAAAAAAAGTGACACTGAAATTATTAATTTTCTCTAAAATTACTTGTAGAAGTTTTAATTTCATTTTTAAAATTAACCATATCAAAGAAAAAAACTTGTTTTGAATTATTATTGAGTATCATTTTATCAATATTTAAAACAATCGTCACAGCGCCACTCTGCGGTGGCGTCAGTGAACTAAATTCAAATATACACAGTATTATTTTCTAATTATAAATTAGACGCTTATCTATTAAAATAAAATAGAAAATATTTGTAAATTTTTAAAATTGCAGATCTTTCGGACGTTCCGGAGAATCTACCATTAAGGGCGCGAGGTTCAGAGAGTCCCCAAGCGTTGAACTATTCGCAGATAGCCTCAGCAGTATCGCAGAGTACGCAGGATCCCTCTGTTTCGAGCACGGAAACAATGCTCAGGAATATCCAGGGTCTTCTGAAGATTGCGGCTGACAACGCACGGCAGCAGGAGAAGCAAATCAACTATGAGAAAGGTCAGTGGCAGGGCTTTCTTAAGACACTTGAGGGCGCTCTCCACAATTTCATTATCTTCCAACTCTCCCAGAATTACATTAAGAGGCATTAGTCCCCTTCGTTGGGCGCGCCTCTGTCTCATCGAAGTCCTCCTTGACCTCTTCTCCTTTTTCTCCTCTATATATACACTTCTCGAGCACCTTTTCTGCTTCTTTATTTCTCCTGCTGTCGTTTTCTATTAAAGCCCCTCTCCACCGCTAAAAAAAAAAAGAAACATACATTTTCGTCGTATCTCCATTATCTCAACAGCGATTAAGGTACCTGTCGTCAATCCGAAAAATTTATATTTTTCATTCTTGTTTAAATTTTTAAATTCAAATAAAAGTTATGATTTTTTCCCCTAAATAATGCAGCAGGTGCCTTATTTTTATAATCGTTTTTTATTCTCTTAAAAGCGATCGATAGACTGTACTGTATTATTTTTAGTTATTAGAAAAATAGAAAGGTAATTCATCTCTAATACATTTTTTTTGTAAATTATGTAGTTATATTAGAGAAGACACTTTTGCACAGCAAATTTTTATCCCCGTTTTATCTGATAAAAAAAAATTCGGAAACGAATTTTTTCTATGAAACGCGTTTTTAAATAATTTAAAAAAAAATAATCGAAGAACGATAACGCTAATTCGGATTCTCACGATAAATATTAATTATGTAAATTATTCACATTATCGTTGTCAATAATATTATTATTACGTTAGAGAATAACCGACGATATCATCAAGAAAAGAAAATTATATTTTATCAAATATGAAAAAAAAATTTTGAAATATACTGAAAAATATGCATAACATATATGCATAATATTTGGCAAAGAATCAAACAATATGAAATAAAAATAGCGAAAAAAAGTAAGAATATCATTTTTATGTACACTTTTATTATTATAAATGATTTGATTTTAGAATACACTGTGTGATATAATAATAGTAGTTTTTAGACAAATTTTCTAGTTAATGTTAAAAATAGTATTATAATAAATAAAAAAAAAACTATTTACTGTTTAATAAACATAAAATTGGCAGTCATTAGTTTTTTCTAAAAACTGTAATTTTCCATTGACGTGCGATAGTAGTGCGATAAGAATTTTGAGGTGAAACTGCGTTAAAAAATTTAATGATCACTGAGATCATCTCGTAATTTTTTTACGTAAAATTCTACTCAAATGGCAAATGAATTTTTAAATACACATTTGTGAAAAATATAATTTATTTGCCATAAATTCTTTGCTTAAAAAAAAACACAAAACATTTTCATTTGTTTTCGATTTTTATTTTTCAATAATAATAAAAATAATTGAAAAGAACTCTTAAGTTCATGTCAAAATATATTAGTCAACGTAAAAAAACAAGTAGACTTTCCAAGTTGTGAATCTACGATGCAAAATTTCTATGTAAATAAACGAGTCATTTTCTAGACATCGCTTTAAAGTTAAAACTTTCCATGTCGAAACTGTTTCGTATTAAATTATAAGCTTGGACAACTTTTCTTAACAGAAATATGAAAAAAAAAGAAAAATTGCATAGAATTTTTAATAAGAATATTAGAAAATTGTGAAGGGAGAAAAAATTTAAAATAAAATATAGTCAAATAGAATAAAAATATTAGTAAATGTGAATAAAAAAAAATAAATAATGTAAGTATTACAATTAAGAGCTAACGTAGCAAGTCAAAAAAACAAAGTGTGAATAAAAATATAGTTAAAGAAAGAAAATTTTTGATTAAACAAAATATATACCTAAAATTTACCAAAATCGTGAATATTATTTGAGAAAAATATTTATAAAAATTAGAATTAATTAAATGATTTATAAATATTTATGAAATATTTATAAATATAAATGAAATTTTTAAATAATGTAGATATTTATAAATATTTCCTAATGAAAATATTTATATTAAATATATCAATTTTCGTATTGTAAAATGTTTTAATTAACATTTTCTCGTGATTCAAAAAGAAAAAAAAATTTTTAAAAACAAAAAATGAAAAATTAACACAAATCTATTGAATTTAAAAAAAAATTATTTATCATTTTATTTAAATTACAAATTTTTTTCTACTTTTATTAGTAAATTTTGTTAATGATTTATTTAAACATGTTAATTTTTTCTGTAAATAAAGGGATTTTTAACAATCGTAGAGCGATATTGAGGAAATGGCACGCTTCGTCTACACAATATATTATTTATATAAATAACATCGTTTTTCATATATATAGTCGTATATATAATAAATAATTCACATCGATAATTATATTTAGTTTGTGCAAGATTTTCAGCTATAGAATTTAAAAAAAACAAAAAAAAAAAAAAAAGAAAAGTGTATAACTGACTGTGTATATGTACGTTTGTTTACTGTTTAACCCACTTCTCGACGATCTTACTCATTTCACGTAAACGATCAAAGTCGACAAAGTGCAACAAAAAAAAAAAAAAAAAAAAAAATGCTTTTCTCAATAAAAGTAAATTGTAAACAACACGCCATATTGAACTGATTTCATACTCGAGCAACAGCAGTTCATTCAAAAAAGAAAACGATATTGTATTAGAAAATGAAAAACAAAAATCAAGATTTGTGGAAAATAAGATTAATAACGAAATTGCCGTTGCTCGACTATAACAGCTTGTGATTCAAAATTTTATAATTAGACATTTTTTAATCTTATTTTAATTTACCTAATAGTAAGAATAATAATAATTTATTATTATTATATAATTTTATAGAATTTGATTTTTTTTTTAGGTTCTGAATTTTTCCTTTTTTTGGACATTCTTTTTTTTTCATCGTGGCGTACTTCCCACGGATAATCTTAATGTATCGCTTCATAAATAACAGTTCGCGCTTTCGTCAAAGTATTTTCAGTTATATGTATATGTGTATACTTATCCGAGATTTTGTACTTTTTAAGTGACCGACCCCCATAAAATTTGAACTGATAGTGAGCGCCGCGCGCAGTGAATTAAGTTTCATAAATTTAGTCGAAACGTAAACGCTGAGACTTTAATTACCCATTAGCTGATATAGAGTGTCATTTTCAGGACCCGTTAACTAATGCGTTTGCTATGTGTTCAACGTTGGAATGCCAAAGGACTTTGGTGATCGTCAATCTCGTTCCTCGTACATAAATGCGTATATGGGCTCCGATTTCAGAATTGACCCCCAAAGGGGGTGACATTATATCTCACCTTTTGAAACACGCGCAAATAAAAGCAATTTTTTTCATTAAGAAATATATTTTACTCTTGGAAGATAAAGAAAATTTTCAATTTTTTTTTTGTTGTTATAATTTTGAGACGCGTTATGAAGAAAGGGACCTTAAGAATTATAGATTATGTTTTGAAGTGGAAATTAACATTTAATAAGACTATCATAAACATAACCTATAATTCGTTAGGAGGGCGTCACAAATGTTTAACATTTTTTTTTATAAATTTTATAAAATATAAATATTAAAAATGCGTTAAATATTTGGATTTAATTTTGTATATTTCAAGTTCCATAAACACCAAAGCAAGTGAGTCTTTTGATCGCATCATGAGAAAAAGGAAGCAAAACTACATCGCACTTTCCAGTTAATAATCCTTGAAACAACAAAATCTCTTTGTCTTTGCTTTCGATGAGGCGCAAATAATTGAAAGGGACAGTTGGGTTGGATGGAAGGATAAGTACCAACGCGCGTGTCAGTTGTTCTGGATGCGCGCAAATGTTAACGAGTTCATCGTAAGTTCGTTGCGACGTTAAGTTTAAAGTAGGCCTTTGGAAAAAAAAATAAAATTCAATCAACAGAGGAATTGAGAGAAAAACGGAAAGAAATAAAAAAAAAGGGGGGTTGGGTGAATAAGAAAAAGAGGTAGAGGGGTTAAAAGGGGGGTCCGATTTAATACTCGAGCGAGCCAACATCTCGTTTTACACACCAGATGGTTTTACATACGGAACGCTATCGTATTTCTTCTCTTTCTCTCTCTCTCTCTATATATGTACGCAAATATTAAGCCAAAGGATGAGTTGCCTTCAATACGGAATATCATCATCGATATTATTCCTCAAGTACTTTTATAGAACCCTTTTTCAGGAATCGAAGAAGAAGAAGTTCTTAAGAGGGGAAAAAAAAAGAAATAAATACTGCGCAAAAATTATATACTTTATTTATCTTAGTATATACGAGATTGAATTTCATATAAATACGTTAATATTATTTTTTTTTTTTATCTTCGAGATGACTGAGAGAAGAAGTCTCCTTTGCTAGGGATTATTATTATCTCTGGTAAGACTGCTATATAAGCGACAAAAACAGGTATTATAAACCCCCGGCCACCATGGCGCGTGGACGATTATCATTCAATGTAACGTGATCACTTCACAAGTGCAAAACCAAAATTTCTTTTTATTTAAAAAAAAAAACAAGTACAATTTTATAGTTAAGTTTAATATTTTTTTTTCTAAAACATTTATAGTTTTTTGGTAACATTAATTTATAAAGTAGATTGGTTATTATTTTTAATTAATAACTATTGGTAATTAAATAGTAAATAAACTAAATATAATAAGAAAGTAAACACTATTAAATATTTAAAAAAGTGTTTAAAAAAAAATCGTTTAAACCAAAAATAATGAAATATATAGTAAAATAATAATAGCTTTGGCGGTAAAGCGCCTTGGCTTGCGATCACCGAAGTTAAGCGCATCTGAGTACGGTTAGTACTTGGATGGGTGACCACCTTGGTGCCCGGGAGGTTTGACAATAAAATTAATATTTTCAATAATATTGCATTAATATTTCCTCAATATTTCCGTGTGATATTGATGCAATGTTTTAATAAAATGATCTCTAATGAACCTAACATTATTTAGGAGTCCATTCCATCAGAATACGGAAGCAAGCGAAGAGAATACAAGCAATTTTCATTGTTAGACTTTAAGAGGTTGCATGTCAGAGTGTAAGTATTAACATCCCGT